CAGGCTGGGTAGGTACCTTAAAACTTGAACTATTAGAAAAAAAAAAAATCCTCCTTTATATAATTTTAACTGTCTCTGAGAAAACAAAATTAAAATAAAACCTGGGAAAATAGACGAGAATATTTTATGAGTGTAAACAAGGTTCATTATCTCCGAAGTGCATATAAAGAACTAATATTCTATTATAAATTAAAAAAAAAAACAAACCAGCATCAAAAATCCAAGAGATAAATAGGCAAAGAATAAGAGAAGAGAATTCACATAAATATCAAGAGTAAATGATCATAAAGTATATGTAAAAGTGTCCATCACCACTAGTAATCAAATAAATGCAATGTAAAACAGCAAGGAAGTTAGCAACTTATAATTACTTAATTAGAACAATTAAAAATGAAGTCGTGAACATATCCAGTGCTGACAAGATTTTAATTCCTTTCCTACACTCAACCACTGCTTGCTAAGGTATTCCTTGAGAAACCCTTTCAGAAAACAAGTCAACAATACGCTCTTATTATGTAACCATGAACCCATTTTGACTGTTTGTCTCAGCAATACTAGCCCCCAGATTACAAAGAAATTGTTCAAGTGGAGACAAAAGATGGAAATATGAAAATGTCCACCATAGCACCCTGTGGCATTGCAACACACAGGAAATGGCCTCCACGTTTTCCTTAATAGACTATCAATCCCACGAAGGAAGAATATTGTCTATCTTTTTCTCTTACGTCCCCATCACTAAGAAGTGTCTAAGACATGGCGGGACTGAATAAATATGTGGCGAATCAATGAATAAAATAGCGCACGAGAATAACGTTTCACCAGCTCAGCTCAACAGAATATGGGGCGGTGGTTAAGAGTAATTAATAATGACAGAGACTCCGCAATAAAATGCACACATTCCTACAATGTGTGAAAAGAGATGGGTTTTTAAGCGGCATGGGCAATCTAGCTAACGTTACAGAGAGACGGGGTTGGAAGGGGACAAGAAGACAGGACGGAGTAAAGCCCCTGCCATGGAACTGTGGCTGCATCCCTTAATTTTTATTTTGCTTTAAAACTATCTTTTAATGTTTGTATAACATTGTTTTTCCAAAAACATAAATCAGAATTGGGGGAAAAGACTCCCCTGAATTTGAGTGACAACAGACATCACCTAAGGGAGTTTGGCTCTATAATGAGGCCTTTTACCACCAACTCCTAGTTCATTCCAGAAGAAATAATAATAGAAAAGATCATGTCCATTGAGTGTACTCAATGCTGCACTCAGTGCTTTACATTAAACATTTTTTTTAATGTTTATTTCTTTTTGACACAGAGAGAGAGACAGCGTGCGAGCGAGGGAGGGACAGAGAGAGAGGGAGACGCAGAATCCAAAGCAGGCTCCAGGCTCTGAGCTGTCAGCACAGAGCCCCATGCAGGGCTCTAATCCACGAACTGCGAGATCATGACCTGAGCCGAAATCAGAGGCTTAATCAACTGAGCCACCCGGGTGCCCCTACGTTAAACATTTCATCTTCATAACCTATGAGGTAAATACCTCCACCTTCCAAATGAGAAAACACAGACTCCATGATTCAGTGACTTGCCGTGTATGAATAGCTATGAAGTGATAGAGATGTGGGGTTTTAACCCAAATAAAGAAACACTCAGGAGCACCTGGGTGGCTCAGGCGGTTGAGTGTCTGACTCTTGGTTTCAGCTCAGGTCATGATTCAAGGGTTGTGGGATCAAACCCCATGTTGGCTCCATGCTGCATGTGGAACCCACTTGGGATTCTCGCTCTCTCTCTCTCTCTCCTTCCCTCTCCCCAGTTTGCGCACATTCTCTCTCTATAAAAAGAAGAAGACGGAGGAGGAGGAAGGGGAGAAGAAGGAGAGGAAGAGGAGGAGGAGGAGGAGGAGGAGGAGGAGGGAGAAAGAAACACTTGATGTAGTACCTCTTTTAAAAACACAAAGCAAAAATTAAGATAGGCATGAGTTTCCAGCTTTTTCTCTATAATCAGACCCCAAAGCGCAACACCAGAAAACTGGTGTATAAGAAGGTAACAACTATTGCAACTTCCATCGTGAAAATGTCCCTGAGATCCTCACAGGAGAATTCTGATTAGCAGATGTCAAAGGAGTGAGGCAAACAGAAGATCACCATTAGCACATTAGCCACATTAATCACTGTTGCGGGCAAGATCTACTAAAGGATGTTGAGATTAGCGGACAGAAATTTGAGGAGGAACAGAATATTTGCAGAGTTGCAAGCTCTCTCCCCAAGATATATATATAAATTAGAAAGAGAAAAATACCAACTTTACCGGGGAGCACCCCGGAAGAAACCACCTTAACCGAGTGACTGAGATCAGCCTCACTAGTAATGAGATACACCGACACCACATACGTCTCAGACGATACACTGAGGACACATCACTTCTGTGCTTTCCTTGCTCAAGATGCAGAACTTCATTCAATTCATGAGGAAACAGAAGACAGAGCCCAATCGAGACACACTCTACCTAATACCCAACCAGTGTTCTTCGTAAGTATCAAGGTCATGAGAGACAAAGAAAGACTGGGTGACTATTACCCATTGAAGACTAAAGAAATACGATAAATAAATGCAATGTGGGGCCCTGGATGGGATCCTGGAACAGAAGAAGGACATTGGTGAAAAAATAAGTGAAGTCCAGGTAAAGCCTGAAATGGACTGAATGGTACGGAACCATCAATGGCTTCTTAGATTGAGAACGGTATTGTGGTTATATGAGATATTCACATTAGGGGAAGCTGGATGATTCGTATATAGCAACTCTCCGTACTCTTGTTGAAACTTCTCTATAAATGTAAAAACATTCCAAAATAAGAAGTTTCCCCCCCAAAAAAAGTCACCAAGAGCAAATTCCTATCACCGAATCGGTGGCTCAGCCAAATAAACAAACCACTTCTCATTTTGACCACACTTCCAATTTCTTCAGCTTCTATGCAGTGAGTCAGTTTGATGGGATCTGGAAGAAAGAATTCTTGGATTTGGAGCCAGAAGATCTGGGTTTTGGATCGGACTGCTTCACCTGCTACCTGCCTGGCCTTGAGCAATGTATCACCTTGTTGCAGTCTTACCCTCTAAATGAAATGGTTATAATAATCCCCCCTTCATGAGACTGCTGTGACGATGGTATGGGAACCACAGTAGGTGCTCAATAAACGTTCACCATTACGGTTCATGCCTTCACAGAGCTATGAAAATGGATGAGGAATGACTTTGTGAAGCGGCTTGTGAGGACTTGAGGCCTTGCAACCTCACAAACAGACATCACCAAGAGCTCGTTTCTGTTGTTTACCTGTGAGTCTCCATCCAATGCGGCTTGGGCGTACATCTGCACAGACAACTCAAGGTCTTGTGACTGGTTTTGGTGGCCATAGTAGTAAAGGTCTCCCATTTTCAGATATGCTGCAGGACAGAAAGCACAGGCCCATTTGTGAAGTGGTTTTATTTCAGACCGACATTTTCAATGGTTGGTCCAGTTGCGTGACGGAGAGTTTTTCCTACCAGAATGTGAATACATGACATCATTGTTTCCTTGGTGTGCCAGGAAGGAAAAGAAGAAAAGAGAAAAAAGA